AAAAAAAGTAGAAACGATAGCAGAAACATCGATTTCGATCAATAAGCAAATGTATACTCCTAGCAGCAACCTCCACTGCCCGCTTTACCACTATCTAGTGGATTGATTGTTACTCTGGGCTCCTCGGTTTGTGCTGGCATCTGTAATTGCACAAATGTATAGATTTGAAGACATCAATTCTCAAAAGTAAACACTTTAGAGGCCAGCTCCAAGCTCGATTCACAATAGCAGGGGCTATCCAACCAAAACACCTAGTTACGATAACTGTGATATCGACAAGCTAAATCTGAACCCAGAAGTTTTTCCCCATATTGCTAATCATTTACTATTCAAAGACAGTAGAATAATGTGGAAAGCCGCTGAGTACCGGGACCACATCATTACCGACAAGGTTAAGCTTATAACAGAAAGCTTTCATAAAGGCCTAAATATACGTCATATCAGGGAATCGATATCGTATTAACTATGGAAAAATCTACTAACTTTAGGGAATAAAAATTTTTGAACCATGACTGACCTTATCCAAAATCGCTTCAGCTAGCTCATAGAATGCTGTGTCTATATGAATATTAGCCTTCGCTGACGTTTCCAGAAACCTAAATTCGGGTAAAATATTGCTTTTGAGTCATAAAACATAAATCACATTGATTTCGTCATAAATTATTGAGTTCTAGCCACTTCTCGCAGTTTTAAAACCTGTTTCCCTTTCACATTACCAACACAAGGCTGGAAACATTACAACAGAAATAGCGTATTCTTATCACATTCTTGCTGAAATCCTTGTAGAATTGACAAAGCAAACTACTTATTGCGAATATCCATTAAGCAAAAAGTTCTTGAAACTCACCTTATCATATGGTCCTTGGCAATCTTCTCTCCTCTTTCCCGACTTACAACTCTCCGCTCTGTCATGTCACATTTGTTGCCAAGCAGCATTTTGACAACGTCTTCGGAAGCATGCTGAAATAAGCTGATAAGTTCTATTTTACTGGAGTTCACCAGAGCATTCCATGCACTAAACCCTTGGCACGCAATGTTTTTGAATGCATAAAAGATGAAGAAGATAGGTCAAAGAAGCCGTTGAAAGCAAGGTATGGACCATCTTAAGTTGCTATAGGGATGGTTATCCAGCAATGATCCAGAATTTCCGCTCGAACTTTGTAACAGGGATAATATTTTTCGCGTAGCGTACTCCGAGTAGCAGATATGTAAGGCGTACGAGTACTCTGAATAAGGGGTGCATATCCTAACGACACTTTGGCGGAGTTGACAAACTTACAATAGCTAGCTGTTGCTGAAGTGATAAAAAATGAAAAATGATAAATTCTTAAACTCTTGGGGCTTTATCAATTTTGCTTGGGGGATGCGTATACGCACTCGACATTCCTTCAGAACCGTAGTGGTGTATTGAATGCGTATGTGGCCTATACAATGAGCCGATGTACAAGTCAGTGCTTTTAACCTCCCAGACCAGACTGGTACCTCGAAGCAATGGAAGGCTTGGTTGGCGAATATCGATCCGTGATTCGAACCCGTAACCGCGCGTGTGAGATAGTGCGCCACTTGCCATTGCACCACCCAAAATGAGAAATGATAATATGATGAATTCATTGGCTTTCACCGATAACTACGAGCGCGTTCGAATGAAAGGTACTGTTTGAAGAGAGAGGTTCACTCGGCTCTCAATCTGCTCCACTAAACCCCTCTTCAAAATCATTCCCAGCGTGATTTCAGCCCGCACATTTTCTACCACAGCTTAAATTCACTCCGAGGAGCAATATTTGAATTCAGTTGCGTGAAATGCGTGACGCTACTTTCAAAACTGATCCCTTTCACCAAAAAGAAACATGGCGTACACTGCCTCACGAAGCATGCAGGCAAAACCCGTGATAAATTTCTGCCCTTTGCCCTTAAGCGCTTGCGTAATTTCACCTAGACCGATTGCCTTCAACAAAAGCGATAACACAATCTTCGAGTGAAACAACCGTCACTTCGAGAGTAACGATTAACCCTTTTTATCAAAGCCCTTGCCAGATTTACCAGTCCGATGAAAGTTCGGGAAACCACGCAGTTCCTATGCGCTCACAGTGAATCGTGACACTATTTGTAGAATGAACAGTGACGGTGAAAACCAGATCATGAATCTTTCGGAATGATTCCGTTTGGTCACAAGGACAAGATGTGCACTATCAGGTGCGTCAACTCTCCAGATAAATTTTCAAAATGATCAGATCGGTCTAAAAAAGAGCAAAAGAACCCTTCTCTGAACATCCGCAACGTTGTAGACTTGTGCCTAATATCCTATTCCCTGTGCTCTCCATTTTGTAAGCTCTACGTTTCGTCTCGTTGAGTGGGTCTGAAATTTTACGTATCTCCCGTAACTTATTTTCCCATACCGGGACTGCCGAGAAACACACGCAGCAAGAACACTTTTTGATGGCACAATTCACGATAATCATACATAGGGAGTGTAGGTTTAGACGAATAATGGATGACATGGTCTAGATCAATGCAAAAGTGGCGGAGAAATCGAGAAAATCGACGCATATAGAGGAATATAATGCTCCAAAAAAGTAATAAAATTATTGGTTGGATGAGAATGTGCCGACAAACGTTGCATGGAAGGGG